CTAAGCATAGAATACTACTTTGAACCGGTATCCATGTATCTTGTGACTTTGTAACTCCCTCTCTTTTATATCAGCATGTGAAGGACACTGTTCAGGAACTAGTTGTACCAAATGCTCTGTATGTGATGACTACTTCCATTCTTGAGAGGATCATAAATACATGGATCCTGAGATTGAAGCTCAAGACGGTGACGAGTGATATTTGTCTAATAGTAAGTATACTGGCCTCTCTGAATCCCCCGTCTCAGTTATCCAGCAAGATAAACACTTCCATTCATCTCAGGACCACCAGGTTGAGATCAGTCACTAACATAAGCGGTGTGAGGCAAGGCAAGCTATTAATACAGCACCTTTCAACACAAGGCAATTCAAAGTGCTTTACTAAAATGAAAGACAATAAGAGCATTTAGAAATAGTGTAGCAGAAACAATTTATGTAATGGCATTTAAAAACAATCATTTAAAAGCAAAGAGAATAAAACATGAATAACACAGATACATGAATAACAGTTACAGTGCAGTGTAAAGTATGAATAGCTAAAAGCAGCGGCAAAAATAAAAGTCTTCAGCCTGGATTTCAAAGTAGTCAGAGTTGCAGCGGACCGGCAGGTTTCTGGGAGTTTGTTGGGTTGATGAAATGGGTGAGAAACGGTAGAATATCAGGAGCGATAGTCTGAAGGAGGTTTGAGGGGATAGGGTCCAGAGGACAGGTGGTAGGGCGGGCAGAGGTGATGAGGGTAAGAACCTCACTTGGAGAGAGAGGGGAGAAGGAGGTTAGTGTGTGGGTGAATTGTGGGTCAGGTGACCCAGCGGTGAGTAAAGGTGAGTCAGAAAAAGAAGAGCGAATATCATCAACCTTTTTTTCAAAGTAGTTAACAAAGTCGCTTGGAAGAAGGGAGGAGGGGTTAGGGGCTTTGGGGGGGTCCAGGAGGGTGGAGAAGATAGAAAATAGTTTTTTGGGATTGGAATAGGAAGATTGGATCTTATCTTGAAAGAAAGTGCTTTTTGCCTGAGAGATCGAAGCAGAGAAAGAGGAGAGGAGAGCCTGATAGGTTAGGAGGTCGTCATGGTGTTTGGATTTCCACCGTTTCCACTCTGCTGCCCGAAGGACGGTTCTATTAGCACGCAGTGCGTCATTTAGCCAGGGAGCAGGAGGGGACTGAAGAGCCTGCCGAGATGTGAGAGGACAGAGAGAGTCCAGAGAGGATGAGAGAGTAGAGAGTTTCTGCAGCAGAGTTTGGAGGCAGAAGTTGGAACGAGTCAGAGGAAGGGAGGGCTGAGAGCACCGATGAGGTCAGAGTAGAGGGGGAGAGGGAACGGAGGTTGCGGCGGACAGGTGCAGGATGAGAAGAGATTAGTTATGTTTGGAAAGGGGTAGAGAGAATGAAATAAAGAAGTGATCGGATGTGTGAAGCGGGTTTACAGAGAGGTTAGAAGTAGAGCAGTTCCTTGAGAATATGAGATCAAGGACATTGCCAGCTTTATGAGTCGGTGGGGACGGAGACAGTGAGAAAGCAAAGGCGGTTAACAGAGATGTTAGTTCGTCTATCTTCCCTGTCTGGAGGTTGAAGTCTCCGAGAAGTACAGCGGGAGGGCCAGTTTCAGGGATGTGTGAGAGGAGATGATCTAATTACTCCAAGAAGTCCCCCAAGGCGCCTGGTGGACGGTAGAGAACAACAATGGTTAATTGTATAGGATGGGTTACTGTGACGGCATGGAATTCAAAGGTAGAAGGAGTGAAGTTAGGTAGCTTGAAGAGGGAAAAGCTCCATTTGGGAGAGAGCAGGAGACCAGTGCCACCTCCTCTGCCAGTGGGTCTGGGTGTATGGGAGAAGGAATATGCTGTGGAGAGAGCTGCTGGGGTGGATGTGTTGGATGGAGTAATCCAGGTCTCAGTGAGAGCAAGGAAATCCAGAGACTGCAGGGAAGCATAGCCAGGGATGAAGTCAGCCTTAGGAACAGCTGACTGGCAGTTCCACAGGCCACCTGCAACTAGATGTTGGATCTCATTGGAGCATGTGGGATAGACGAGAGCAGGCCGGTTACAACGATTAGGAGATGCACGGGGTCAGAAATGTATTCTGCGTCTAAATCATTCAATGCTTTATAAACCAGCCGCAGTATTGAGAAATAAATTATTTGACACACAGGAAGCCAGTGTAAAGACTTCAGAACTGGACTGATTCACTTTCTTAGTGTTAGTGAGGAACCAGTGTAAAGACTTCAGAACTGGACTGATTCACTTTCTTAGTGTTGGTGAGGAACCAGTGTAAAGACTTCAGAACAGGACTGATTCACTTTCTTAGTGTTAGTGAGGAACCAGTGTAAAGACTTCAGAACTGGACTGATCCTCTTTCTTAGTGTTAGTGAGGAACCAGTGTAAAGACTTCAGAACTGGACTGATCCTCTTTCTTAGTGTTAGTGAGGAACCAGTGTAAAGACTTCAGAACTTGACTGATCCACTTTCTTAGTGTTAGTGAGGAACCAGTGTAAAGACTTCAGAACTGGACTGATCCTCTTTCTTAGTGTTAGTGAGGAACCAGTGTAAAGACTTCAGAACTGGACTGATCCTCTTTCTTAGTGTTAGTGAGGAACCAGTGTAAAGACTTCAGAACTGGACTGATCCTCTTTCTTAGTGTTAGTGAGGAACCAGTGTGAAGACTTCAGAACTGGACTGATCCACTTTCTTAGTGTTAGTGAGGAACCAGTGTAAAGACTTCAGAACTGGACTGATCCACTTTCTTAGTGTTAGTGAGGAACCAGTGTAAAGACTTCAGAACTGGACTGATTCACTTTCTTAGTGTTAGTGAGGAACCAGTGTAAAGACTTCAGAACTGGATTGATCCACTTTCTTAGTGTTAGTGAGGAACCCGTGTAAAGACTTCAGAACTGGACTGATTCACTTTCTTAGTGTTAGTGAGGAACCAGTGTAAAGACTTCAGAACTGGACTGATCCACTTTCTTAGTGTTGGTGAGGAACCAGTGTAAAGACTTCAGAACTGGACTGATTCACTTTCTTAGTGTTAGTGAGGAACCAGTGTAAAGACTTCAGAACTGAAGTGATCCTCTTTCTTAGTGTTGGTGAGGAACTAGTGTAAAGACTTCAGAACTGAAGTGATCCTCTTTCTTAGTGTTAGTGAGGACTCGAGTGTGAGTCTTTTTCAGTCGCATAACTACAGTATGTTTTGCAGTCCAGCTCCAGCACCTCCGACTCCGTCACTGCCGGCACCTGGAGCTCAGGTGAGTCTGCATGTTTACATAGTGCAGTTTTTAAATATATATATATATATGTCTTTATTTTTTTAAATATTTTTGAATTTTAATATTTGTGTTTATATTGTTTTAATGTTTGTATATTTAATTGGAGTGTCTATCTATATTTTATATACATTTATTATTATTTGTAAAATTTGTATATATTTTGTTTTATTGTTTATATTTAATATATTTATTTAGCAAGTGTATTAGCTTAGTTGTAGTGTTTGTATATTTATTTTGAATATTTATATATTCTTTTAGGTTTTTTAAAATATTATATTTCTCTTTTTATTCATATATTTTATTATAATTGATTTTATATTTAGTTTTATTATTGAAATTTAAAATGTACTTCCAGTGTTTATGTATTGATCACATGTATGTTTTTTTCTGTCTATAGCCATGTTTACATATTTAGTTGGGAGTGTGTATGGATCGTTTTTATATAACATGTATAATTTTATTGTTTATATATATTTTATATTTATGTTTATTATTTATTTGTGATGTTTAAATGTCTAATTGTAGTCTTTTTTTATATTAGGTTCTAATTTTTGTATACATTTGTTATATATTTAGTTTTAATGTTTAAACTTTTATTATCAACTGTTTAAAATATATTTGTAAAGTTTTTACGCAGTTTTTTTAATTGAATTTTTAATTTGTAGTGTTTGTATATTATTATATATTATTATTTCTATACGTATTTCCTGCTGTAGAGAGGAACCTTCTGACAGCACAGGGACGCCCCGGGACAGAAACAAACACACGTCCTGCTGTAGAGAGGAACCTTCTGACAGCACAGGGACGCCCCGGGACAGAAACAAACACACCTCCAGCTGCAGAGAGGAACCTTCTGACAGCACAGGGACGCCCCGGGACAGAAACAAACACACCTCCAGCTGCAGAGAGGAACCTTCTGACAGCACAGGGACGCCCCGGGAGAGAAACAAACACACCTCCAGTTGCAGAGAGGGGTATCTGATGTAGCGTCTACTAATTTAAATAATGATTCACTGACAGATTAACATAAAATCATAACACAGAATATAGATGTGTGAAATGGGTTGGTACTACCTTTATTTTTGGCATATTTCGAAAATATAACTCATAATTATTCATAAGAACAAAGAGCAAACATGTTTAAATAAATAAAAATATTTCCAGTGGACTGAGGAGGAAGGGTGATCCTTTATGTTATTATAAAATGTGTTTATTTGGCATATAATACTATAATAACTGATATTAAATACATTAATAATTATACATAAGCACTGGATGGAAATCAACGGAAAAAATAGGTAATTAAATAAATCATTTCAAGCAGACTTCCACATGTCTTGGTACTTCCTGTTTAAATGTAATTGCTATTAGTTTGCATAGCCTCGCCAGCTTTATCAAAGTTTACTGACAAAATAAACAGTTGTTAAGCTTTTAAATTAACTGTTAAGCTGTCACAGTTGTTTGGAGCTGCTGCCGGGTCTGCTTAAAAAAACACAACAATCTTTCTTATAATTCCCCTCACTGCCTGAACGTAGACACAGGTCTGCACTGTCTGACCACAGGGGGTTAAACAATAGCTAACGTTTATTAGCTAAACAGCAATAAGTGGTGGTGCACCAGGAGCTACAGGGCGGGCCGCCAACAGCAATGTAAGATAGTGTCGGTGTTTCGGGTCGGAGCCGGATCCCAGCTGAACAGCTTGTGGGACACAGCAGGAAGAAGTTTTAACACAGCGAGTCCTTCCTTTTCAAAAAGAGTTCACTTTATTAACAACGATTCTTCAAAAGCATCAGGATGAAATGTAACTCACATTAGCTAGTGATATCAACTAAACGATAAGAGATCAGCCGTTGCTTTTTCTTGTTCAAAGTAGTAGTAGTATTCGTTTATTAGTCCCCAAGGGGAAAATGGGTTGCAGCACATCACAGAGGCATTTCAAAAAGTTAAGACAATACATCACTGACAACAACATAGACACAGATAAAAACAAACAGACATAAGAAAACCAGATATCGGCAGACATGACAAGGGGCCTATAGGCCCTCATTTGCGAAATAGGGGGGACAGGGCCAGACCAGCTGGGTAAACAGTGCGTCCTAGCCATCATTTGTTCAGGAGTTTGATGGCTTGTGGGACGAAAGACAGCCTAGATCTGTTCTTTTTGAAATAAGGGGCACGATATCTCCGCCCGGATGGCAACAATTCAAAGTAAGAGGCAAGAGGGTGCCTCAGGTCACTCACAATATTGTGTGCCAGTTTTAAAACTCTGTCCTTATATAAGCATTCTATATTAGCCAATTAGATTCCTGTCAATTTACTGGACAATGTTATGGCCCTCCTGACTGACTTTTTCTGTGCCTCAGTTGCGTTGCCGAACCAGCATATGATGCCGAATGAGAGCACACTTTCGATAAAAGCATGATAAAACATCTTCACCATTCTGTTGCCGACATTAAAAGACAATAATTTACGTAAAAAAAACATTCTTTGTTGAGACTTAGCATTTATTTTCTCAGCCCAAACGTCCCATCTGAGCTTGTGGTCAAGCACGACACCAAGATACTTGTACTCAGTGACACATTGAATGGGCTCACTATTTAATAAAAGAGTAGGGTTGGGCGATTGTGCTATTCTAAAATCAATTTCCATCTCCTTTGTTTTTGAGGTGTTTAGAAGCAGGTTTGACTTCTCACACCAGTTAATAAAGAAGTCAAGGACAGGCCCATGCTCCTCTTCCTCATCAAAGAGGAGGCTGACCAGGGCCGTATCATCTGCATACTTAATAAAGTGCCTATTGGGAAAAGTGCTGATGCAGGGAGATTCACTTTGGTTTTTATGTCTATGTTTTTGGTCACAAACTGAGCAACCAAATGGCTTCTCCCATGTGAATTCTCACGTCTCTTCAGACTGTCTTTCAGGCGTAATATTTTCCCACACTCAGATACACCCATGGGTACAACTTCAGATACAAATGAACACATAATGAAATATGACCCCCGGTTTCATGATTGACAGGTCACAGTACAATGGGAGCTATCTACCCTTACCCACAATTTAAAGTAATTCACACAGACCATCTCCTCTTTACTCTTCTCTCTGTGAGGAGCAGCAAGTTCAGCTTCAGAACAAAGTGAAACACAAACAATGGCATCAAATATTATTAATATGTCGGGTAGTAGCCTAATAGATTTATTTATTTTCTTCTCAGAGTGTACCAGAATGCAGGGCCTTCCCTTCCTACACGCAGATCACGCAGACTGCGTGGGGCCTCACCTCGCTGAGGGAGCCTCATCTTGCGGAGGGGGCCCCTCAACTGAGCGCACCGTTATGCGGCGCAATTAGTGTAAGCGCGGCACAGTTTTGCCGCTGGGACACGGAGGGCCTCATCATATAACTTTGCGTGGGGCCACAAATTGGCCAGGGATGGCCCTGCCAGAATGCGTAGTTTATATGTTAGCAGTTCAAAAAATCTCCTGGGGGAGAATCCCCCCCAGACCCCCCTGCTGGGGTTGGGTTTCCAACATGTGTGCCTTTTTATGTTATACAGTTCAGCTTTGATTCCATCATCTCATTAAACTTTTTTAAAAGCATACTTTAGTTCTGTGAAGGGATATAAGGGATATATGCACTGTACTTCACTTTAATTGATTTTTTCTGCTGAAAAGCAAATAAGCAAATGTCGGGTCGCGATTTATTGACAAAGGAAAAAAGTGCGTCCCAAGGCCTGACCAGTTGAGAACCACTGGTTTAGAGTGTTTAACCGGAATAACAGATCTTTCCAATCACCACTGATTTCAGGGTCAGGAGAAGCTAAAGTCATGTTCTTGGCTGGCTCTGGTTCTCTGTCAGTGTCGCCATAAGTGTTGGTTACTTTGGTGTCATTAGAGCACAATGGACTTGTTTCTGTGCTTAATATTTGTTTTAATACACATTCAGACTTGACTTAGAGCAATGATGTTTTAACACATTTCGAGCAGGTATCGCATTATACACATTTACTGGGACTAACTTAAAGAGTTTGAACCTAACAATAATCACTGTCTTCAGTGTCAGGTTCAGAAGAATCTCCAGAGTTGTCCTCAGTCTCTGGTTGTAAATGTCTCTCTGGATCGGAGTTCCTGGCTGGTTCTGGTCCTCCACAGTCCTCTCCATCAGCTTCTGTTTCCAGGTGTTCAGCTGAGATGCTGGCTGGAGGCTCTGCCTCTCTGTTCTCCTCAGTTTGAGTTTGATGAAGCTGTGAGGACTGACGACCAACACACTTATGAAGTTTTACCCGATATCGCCGGGTGAATCTTTGGTCACAAACACTGCAGCTGAATGGTTTTTCTCCTGTGTGGATTCTCATGTGGTATTTTAAATGTCCTCTCTGTCCAAAAGATTTCTTACAAATTGAGCAGCTGAATGGTTTCTCTATTGTGTGGATTGTCATGTGTGTCTTTAAATTTCCTCTCTGTGCAAAAGATTTCTTACAAATTGAGCAGATGAATGGTTTCTCTCCTGTGTGGATTCTCATGTGTTTCTTTAAATCTCCTTTCTGTCCAAAAGATTTCTTACAAATTGAGCAGATGAATGAGTTCTCTCCTGTGTGGATTCTCATGTGGTACTTTAAATGTCCTCTCTGTCCAAAAGATTTCTTACAAATTGAGCAGATGAATGGTTTCTCTCCTGTGTGGATTCTCATGTGTTTCTTTAAATCTCCTTTCTGTCCAAAAGATTTCTTACAAATTGAGCAGATGAATGGTTTCTCTCCTGTGTGGATTCTCATGTGTTTCTTTAAATCTCCTTTCTGTCCAAAAGATTTCTTACAAATTGAGCAGCTGAATGGTTTCTCTATTGTGTGGATTCTCATGTGTTTCTTTAAATCTCCTCTCTGTCCAAAAGATTTCTTACAAATTGAGCAGATGAATGGTTTCTCTCCTGTGTGGATTCTCATGTGTTTCTTTAAATCTCCTTTCTGTCCAAAAGATTTCTTACAAATTGAGCAGATGAATGGTTTCTCTCCTGTGTGGATTCTCATGTGTTTCTTTAAATCTCCTCTCTGTCCAAAAGATTTCTTACAAATTGAGCAGCTGAATGGTTTCTCTCCTGTGTGGATTCTCATGTGTTGCTTTACATTTCCTCTCAGTGCAAAAGTTCTCTCACAGACTGAGCAGCTGAATGGTTTTTCTCCTGCACTACGTCTTGAATCACAGACAGGGTCTTGTTTATTTTTCTGAGAGTTTGAACCTGGTTCTCTCGTCTTCTTCCAATCAGCCCTGTCTTCAGTGTCAGGTTCAGAAGAGTTTTCAGTGTCAGGTTCAAAAGAGTCTCCAGTGTTGTCCTCAGTCTCTGGTTGTAAATGTCTCTCTGGATCTGAGTTCCTGGCTGGTTCTGGTCCTCCACAGTCCTCTCCATCAGCTTCTGTTTCCAGGTGTTCAGTTTGTCTTTGATGAAGCTGAGAGAACTGAGGTTTCTCTTCATCATCTTCACTCTTCACAGGGACAGGATTGAATATGGACTTGGTGATATCAGCCTCCTCCAGCGCTTGAAGCTGCTCTCCCTCCTGACTGGTCCAGAGTTCCTCCTGTTCCTCTTTAATGTGTGGGGGGGGCTCTGAGTCCTCCCGATCCAGACTGGAGCTCCACTCCTGCTGAGCAGGGGGAACCTCTTCGTTAACCACCACCAGCTGCTGGACGTCTGCAGGAAACACACATTCAGATAAACTGTAGAGTATTAGGGTTTAAAATCTTACCACAATTAACACTTATTTAACCTGTTAAGCCCTGAGCCTGTTTTTCAGGTCTCAGGCTCGAAAATGACATTCCCAGAACAAATGACCATATCTTCCCTTCTAACAGGGTTAAATTAATAATCTTTTTTTCAAAGTAATGATAAACCTGTGAGTTGGATGTAGAAAAGTCAGAATCAATATAGATGTTTTTTATTTTAAAGAAAATTCAGATTGAACATGGTAAAAAAACTGTAAAGTATAGTGTCCGTCCAAAAAATATTTTGTACTTATAGTGAAAACTAACCTTGGATGATGGGTTAGTAGACAAAAAGCTTTAGGAATCCAAAGTGCAACATATAATAAGTACCCTGTATCAAGATTGTTGCAAAACAAGTGACATTTGACCTTTTTAGACAGATTTAGCACAAAAAACCTCTTCTGGGGCCATTTGGGTGGATTTTCCTTATCTCTGGCCCCCCTTCTTCGATTTTGACATGTGACATCTCTTTCTGACCGTTAGAGCCAATAGAATCGAAGGGGAATCTCCCCACACACACGGTAAAACGAAAAGATGGGGGCTTCGAATGTGAAGTTTTGCTCCAGAGTGAAGCTGTCTCTAGGTCTGACATCTCAAAACCGAAAAGCAGATTTATTTCTCATGGATTATCAGAAATCATTCAAAGTGACACAGACACATTGGATTAACCTATGGATTAACTTCAGAATCGTTTTTATCGTTTTAATGCCATTGAAGACCACTTTTGACCAGACTACCACACAGGTGAACCATTTTGCCGTTTTTAGCTAACTAGCTCCATATGTTTTGATGTGTGCTCTTGTTATTATCTCTGAGAATTCGTATAATTGAGTGATAATGAGGGTACCCATCGATTCTGTGTCCCCTCACGATGTGAAACGATGGGTTGAGATGTGCAGCAAAGATTAATAAGGTTTTGTGAGTGAATTTCGATGCAGTCATCTGTTAGCATTTTTCGCTCGTTGCTAATTCAGAGGCTCAGCGTTAGCATTGTGGGTTTTCAAAACAAAAAAAACAAAAAAATTAAAATGATCAGTTAGATGAGTTTCTTCCCGTTACATGGATATAAAACATTCATAATTTATTAAATGAACATGCCCTCAGACACTGTTTTCTGCAAGATGTTGCAGGAGGCCCCCGGAACCGGGGTCTCTCGGGCTTAACAGGTTAACTTTGCAGCCCTTATCCATTCCTTATTTTAAATGCTTTTCCAGATGCCCTGGAGAGTTTCAGGACAACAGGTGAGTTAGTACTCTAGCCAATCTAAAACGTAGTTTCACTGCCGCTTAGCAAGGCGTCTGCCGTTCACGGAGTGTGAGGCCGTAGCCTTATAGTTTGTGACCTGTCTGCAGAGTCGTTAGCTGAGAACTGGTGTTGGAGTTTCTCAGAGTAGTCGTTTAGCATCTCTCTCCGCCTCGCTAAACCTGTACTTGGACTCATACAGGTGCATCTCAATAAATTGAATATCCTCGAAAAGCGAGTTTATATCAGTAATTCAATTTATAAAGTTTAAATGTATACATCACAGATTCATCACACACAAAGTGAATTATTTCCAGCTTTTATTTGTTTTAATCTTGATGATTAAATGAAAGCCAAAATACAGCATCTCAGAACATTTTAATAATACATAAACCAATATAAAAGAGATTTTCTATGGTAGAAATGCTGTCCTGAAAAGTATGTTAATGTTCCTGCTGTCAGTACTTGGTTGGACCTCCTTTAGCATGAATAACAGCTTCAATGCGGTGTGGCATGGAGACTATCAGTCTGTGGCACTGCTGAGGTGTGATGGAAGCACAGGTTGCTTCACTCGCGGCTTTCAGCTCGTCTGCATTGTTGGTTCTTGTGTGCCTCATCTTCCTCTCGACAATACCCCATAGATTCTCTACAATAATAATTCACAAAATTCTGACTTTCTCAACATTTTAACTTTTTCTAAAATGTTGAATCTCAACATTCTGACTTTTTTATGGAAAACTCAGAATAGTCACGTTTTTCTCCAAATCCTGACCTTTGAATAAAAAAAATCTCTAAATTGTTCAGATAAACCTCAGAATTTTTACTTAACATAAAACAATTCTGACAAATGTTCTCATAATCCCGATTTTTTTTCAGAAAAAACTCAAATGCTGAATTTTTCAAAATGATGGTCTTTTCAGAAAACCTCAAAATGTGGAGAGGAGACATGTCATGCTTTTCCGGTTATTACCCATCCCCTTCTGTGTTATGAAGGTTTGTATGCATGTAAACAGTGCAGAGTGACAAACCCTCAAAGTACACCCTGTAGCGAGTAAAACTCTAACACAGAAAATACCTCCCCAAAACGCCTCGTTGGAGATACGTCATTGTCCATTTGATTCTTCCGGGTACGGCATGATGTCAACCCATACCTGGAACGAAATGGACCAATCCGTTGAGCCGTTACGTTTGTGCACCGTTTTGAAATGCCGCTCCTAAATTACCCTTCTTCGGTAAAGCCACGCTCGCATTGCAGATGAGACAGATGGACTTTGAATTGGAATAGATAAAAAAATAATCATCCTCCCACTCGGAGTGAAATTAATTAATTGTATGAATACTATGTGTATCTTTCTTAGAGTACATCACAGCAGGAACACAATACCAACTGCTCCAGTACAGTCCGATGTCAAACAGACCGTCCACAGACTGTTTGTGTGGGAACTCAGAGGGTTGAGACACAGTCTGTGGGAACACAGACAGTGGAATGTAAAGTGTCCGCCATTTCTGTTGCTACACAGTTGGCCCGGGGAACACTGAAATCGGCACACGTGAGAAGCAAAGGTAGACTATAACACTGACAAATCACAGATACATTACCTTAATTGTGCTTTTATTACATGTACAGCACTTGGGCTCGACCAAAAATCTTTTTTAAATGTGCTCTATAAATAAAACCTTATTTGATATTATTGTATATCACAGAAATACTGTTATGTTGACTACAAGAAATACAGTGCTGTTTGTAGTTTATAAATTTTTCATGAATTAATCTGTCAGATGTACACAAGTTGGCCTTTTACAATGTATTAGTGTCTTATCTAATGTACATAGTATTTATGCACTTTTCCCTTTTTATTAACAGGCATCCAGGCCACGGTGTCTTTCAAAAGTGTTGGCACTAAAACTTCCACCTACACAGAAATCCCCTTGTCCTCTACACCAATAAAGGGCCCAGGATTGGGACCTAGCAAGAGACCTCGACTAGAGTTGGAGCAGGAACAAGGAGAGACTTCGATTGAATTTGAAGAGACTCTGGATTCGAGTTACCACCCTGATGATACTGTAGAAGAATCTGACGTATCGTAAGTTTGGTATATTTGGTACACATTACTATTACTGTTGTTCAGAGTTGACATCTAACATGTATTGTTAATTTTGTTTCGTTACATTAGACTTCAGACACGATCCACGCACAGTGACACAAAGTACATTGTGTTTGAAAGCTGCCTCGGACAGCTGTTTGAAAAATGTCCGTTTTGTAAGACAGACTGTGATGTCCAAAAACGAAAAAATGGGACTTTTGTGGCGTTCAAACAGCGTTGTCCAAACTGCACTTACTTCAGACAATGGGAGAGCCAGCCCATCATTGGAAGTACCCCGGTTGGCAACTTACAATTATCTGCTGCTACATACTTCACTGGTGCTTCCTTCTTCCAACTAAAAAAGGTATTTTACCATCTTACATCCATAGCATATGAAAAATGACAGAAGCGGACTTTTTCAAATACTTGTCCTTTTTTTCTATTTATTCATAGATATGCAGAGCCATGCAGCTGGAGATCTTCCAGTATGAGACCTTCAGGAGGCATGCTAGGCATTATCTGGAGCCTGCTATTATCCACAAGTGGAAAACTGATCAGCTGAAGATTTTCCAGCAACTACACCACCAGGGGGGAAAGGTCACAGTTGCAGGAGATATGAGAGCAGACTCTCCAGGTAAGCAGAAACAGACAAGACAGTCTAGTGCAGGGGTGCCCAACCTTTTTTGAACCGAGAGCTACTTTTAAAGTTGCCAGTCTGCCGAGATCTACCAGTCCAAATAGAGAGGCGTAGCCATTACTGAGCCTACTACCAGTTAAATACACACTTCTACTTGTATAAAACTGACCTTTGTACGATGAATACTTCCTAAAATACTGCAGATGCTTTATCTTACCTCTTTCTAATCTACACACATACAAGTATTTAACTGAAGTTACACAACAGTGTTGTTGATACAGAGTTGGAGTTTATTCACACGTCACTACAGTGGGTAATGTTTTCAAGAAACATTGAACAGTGCTGCCACATATGACACAGGAAAAAAGAAAATACTCTGAACCCTTTCTTTGCCATTATATAAAAATAGTGTTGCTACAAAAGTATAAATTAGGCTTACTAATAAGACAACTCAGATCTGAAGCTACTCAGGAATCTGCTGCCAAAGTGCAATAAAAAAGACAAAATTAATAGAATCAAACCCTTTTTTGTAGCATTTTAGTAGAGTATAAAAAGAAATAGGATGCAAGCAACACTAGTTTCTTAACCTGAATTGATAATAGACTATAATCAATTTAAGTTTGCATTCTTATACCATTTTGTACAATAATTATAATGAATAAATTCAAACAAACTAAAACTTACAGCTGATTAATAACGGTATCTAACTTGAGTTTTTATTATATCAAAAACCTGTTGAAATGCTGCTGTTATTTTTACTGTCCCCCAAAAGCGCATCGGCAGCCTCCAGGAATGCTTCTTACACAACTTCGCCGTCTTTGAAAGACTTGATAAGAACGTGACTGACACGATAAGATGCTCTGGTAGCAGCCTTGCTCTTGTTGTTGGGCCTGGTGAAAATGGACTGCTGTGCATTTAGCTGTCCTTTCAGGCCCCTCCCCTTTTGGAGCGTAGGGCAGAATTGAGGGAATTCCGTCTCGTAGCGTTTATGCACTGTTTTGAAATGCCGCTCCTAAATGACCCTTCTTCGATAAAGCCACGCTCGCATTGCAGATGAGACAGATGGACTTTGAATTGGAACAGATACAAAAATAATCATCCTCCCACTCGGAGTGAAATTATATATTTTTGCTTCTGCCATAATTGCGGTCTTGTGTGTGTGTCACTCCTGTTGACGGTTGACACGGACAACGTCAGCGAAATAGTGCCCACTGCCCACCAGCCACGCCCCGACACATGGGGTCACGCCGGCCAATCACAAAGCTTTGATGCGTTCAAGTGCATTATTCTGGCACAGGAAGATTATGTTATAGGACATTAACGATAAAACAGAATATGGTTGTTCTATTTTTAGACACATCTCGCGATCGACTGGGAATCTCCCCGCGATCGATCGACTGGTTGGGCACCCCTGGTCTAGTGCCAGAGTTACTGGTGTATATTACAATTCATCGAACTTATCCATTGAAATTCTGTTGAAAAGTCTTGAAACCTCCTGTATTATATTTTCTTCAGGCCACTCAGCTAAGTTTGGGAGCTACACGCTAATGCACCTGGGAAGCAACACCATTGTGGGATTCTCTTTCTGGGTGTAATTTTAGGCGTGCTGGCTGTTGATGCATGCTTCAGTGTATTTATGCCCTATTTCTTATTCACCAACAGAGCAATGAAGTAGGTGGTAGTTACCACATGGAAAAGGAGGGACTCAAAAGATGCCTAGATCATCTGGAGTCAAACGATTTGGCGGTTGAGTACATTGTGACTGACCGTCATCCACAGATCCAGAAGTTTCTGAGGGAACGCAACATAGAACAATTATATGATGTCTGGCACTTTGAAAAAGGTATGTATCCCTATATGTTGTAATGAAAGAATACCAAATCAGAGACACTGTCCTTTTTAGCAGCAGACATGACATGTCTGGATAGAGACATGAATGATATCCCCCTATATGTCCCTCTAATCTGGTCTTTCCTCTGTTATTGTAAACTGTCTGGCAGACCACTTGATCACAGCACCTTTTGTCATTGTAAATTACATTTCACTCACTAATCTTAGGATAATGGAGTACTCTTTAGGATGGGAATTTACAGTGATGCATATATGAATATGTATGGGTGTTTCCTGGCTATAAAATGTTTTCAGACATAAGGGTGACGCCCTGACCATTGTCATGCAATTATCATATGGATGTTATGGTTGTAATTAACATGCTGTGCTTACCCTTCTGTCTGCCCACCACCCTCTTTCCACCACACCCTTGAATATTGTCCATCACAGCACATCATTTACACACTATTGCTTGAATATTCACATGCGTTTTCTTTTTATCAGGTTTGTCCAAGAAACTTGTGAAACTTTCACAGAACAAGGACTGCAAGTTGTTGAAGAGGTGACTGCAGAGCATAACAAACCATGTGTACTGGAGTGCGACGAGCACAACCTCGGGGCCGGAGAAGGTGGCAAGGTGGACGTCAGTGGTCAACCACCTACAAAACATCCACGTGCATGACGACCCCCTATTCCCCAAGTGTGAACATCCTGAAAGAGCCACAACGGATGAAAATAAATGGCTAAAATCTGGTAAGTTCAATATTTATAAAAAAATTGCAAATAACAAGTGAAACATTTAAAAACACTTCACTTCCTTCATAAGATAAGTAAGATAAGTTGTAATGTTCTAATGGGCTGGTGATGTTTTTGTAATTTTACTCAAGATTCAATAACACTCCACAAAGTTGAGAAAATACTCAACAACAAGAGAGTTCTCAAAGAGGTGCAAAAGCTAAGCCATCACTACCAGACCTCATCCCTGGAGTCGTTCCACAGCTTGATTCTGCGTTTTGCCCCCAAAAATGTGGTTTTTCCCTTCATGGGAATGTTGTGCAGGTAATACACTGTATAATTTATTCAGTAGCATCTTATAACACAGTGACTGTTTCGTGGCATGAGGGTTTTATTCTGTCATAACACAAAGTCTTATTTTATTTTGCTATTCTATAGGTTGTGTCTAGCAGCCATGCATCACAATGAGAATGCTGACCGTGAGCAAGCCACAACAGCTGCAGGACTACCTGTGTACAGATTGGCCTATCCAAAATCAAGGAGGGGAGAATGCACCGCAAAGCCTGTAAAGAAGGAGCCTACATACAGTAAGTTGTCAACATTTTTTTTATTACAAATATAAATTACATTTTAAATTATTATAGCACAAAGTACCAAAGAACTGGCCAGATCTATGGAGAACCGGGATGACTGCAACAGACGATGGAGGGCTAGAGAGATAGCCACACTGAATTATCTGTACAATGAAAGAATAAAAGAGAAATGAATAAGTGTATACAAATAATTAATTATTATATGAATGTTATATTTTTCAGTGTACGTGGGTGAGCTGATGAGGCTGGTGTTTGAAGAAGTCTTTGAGGACCCAACACCCTTTGTGGAGGAGATGAATAAAATCAACATCCCAAAGGACCTGTCCACTCAATTTGACAGGCCCTCAAAGGAGGAAGTGGTAGCCCGCCATGTCTCACGTTTTGGTCTAGGGGCGGTCGGAAGCCCACGTACTGTCCAGCCAGATCAGGGAACTCCTGGCGTATCCGGCGGACCACACACGACGGGATGACCACTCTGATTCCTCGTCCCAAAAAGCCCCAGCACCAGCTTACGAAGCTGCGATAGGCCAGATGCCTAAAACGCCTATAAGAGGAGGAATGGATGATAACATATATGTGCTGTCCTGTTTTTCACCCTTACCCTCTGGCTGCTTGAACAACTGAATTTCCCCACAGAGATTAATAAAGGTCCATCTTATCTCATACAGTGTATATATACACATGATCAATTTGTACATTTATCAAAATAAAGTTTGATGGAACTACTTGATAGCCTTTCTTCCCTGAATTATTTGCTCCTAGATCATTCATATATAGCAAACCATTATTTGATTTTTCATCTAATACAGTAGTAGTTTATTATAGATAAAAATAACTTACTCTTCTTCAGTTCTACGCCTCAAAGGTCCATAATCAAACCGATAAATATTGTGGAGGTTCTGCAGGGTGTAGGGATTGAGGCAGTTTGGTTCTAGTCCGGGGTGGTCAACCATGCACACAATGGGTTCTGGGACTTGGTGCTTTCGTGTTAAAACCTATAGGAGGATAAGATATTTGTAACATAATACGTTTAGCAATTAAATCCAACTATGGCGAGGTTTACAAAATAAACATTAAATTACTGTAAAATAAATAAAAGGGCATATTATAGTCTATTGACTTGACAAGTATGTATGGTGTATATAATGTTGTGTGCTACTGTTGGTGTTTTTGTATTTGTTGTGGTGACACCCTGTTTTGACCATAATTCACCTTTGGTATAGTGTTGCCACATGGACCCTTTAGTGTGTGCTCTTAGGTTTAGCTTGTCATTCCTAGCTTGTCAGACAGAGCAGACATGTATTTTACCTGATTCTAAACACACCGCCCCCGACTCCCTTTCATCTGCACTACACTGTCACCTTTCTAATATCCCTGCAACAGAGGTTTTCCACCTCGGTAGGCATTACTGCGCAGTTTCCACACGTGCACCTAAATAACAACAGTTGGAAAGTTTGGTTAGTCAGCGGACACACTTGTTACTGTGATGTAGATAAATGATGAAGTTCTAACATTACATCTGAAATGTAGCAGCTATACAAAATTAAAACGTTCCACTGTGAAACCGCCTGCTGTATTCTTGTTTGGGACGGTGGATCAGGTCCATCACGGTCCGTTTCACTCTCAGGGTCGGACTCCGGTTCGTACATATATGGCTTTACTGACGCCATTTCATTTCTGCTACTCCGCTCAGAGCCGAAAAAACACCATGGGCTAAGTACCCGCTAAACCACTTTACGGCAGATGTCAACAGGGGCAGAGCCTCTCTGGTGGTTGACAAATCAGAACAGAGGGGCCGAGCTGACCAATCGGAGCACACTGGGCTCACAGGGAGGGCGGGCAAGAGCTGCAACGAGCCGTTTAGTGGAGAGAGTGAATTCACGTAGTTTACAGAGATGCTGTATGCGAAACAATGTGAGTTTGGAAAATTGCACAGTATAAATCTATTCTAGTAGACATCAACAATGGAATTATGATCAGTGGAAATGGCCATGACATGTGACCTTTAATATTTAAAAACCTATTAATGTGTTATACCAGATTAACGAGAAGAATCTCAGCTAACTGACTATACGAACCATTTTTACCGAAACAAAACACAAGTCTCACAAGAAGCGTTAGCCCTTAGCTAAAACGGGCAGATGCTACTTCCAGTGCTAACTAGAAAAAACGATCTTTAAAACTTAAAGGTCCCATTGCATGGTCCTTTCTACTGATCATAATACCATTGTTGAGGGATATTACAATAGAAAAATACTGTGCAATTTTCCAAACTCAGATTGGTTTCTCATACATTATCTCTGTAAAGTATGTATTTTCACTCCCTGTGCTAAACGGCTCGATGGAGTTCCTGCCCCCACCCTCCTGTGCGTCCAGTGTGCTCCGATTGGTCAGCTCTGCCACTCTGTTCTGATTAGTCAACCACCAGAGAGGCTCTGCCCCTGTTGACATCTGCCGTAAAGTGGTTTAGCGGGTACTTAGCAACATAGCAATACTAGATTTGAGAATCGATAGATAGAGAGTTATATAGATAAATAGATAGCTTACATATAGCATACAATGGCGTATGGAGCATACAATTTCGAACCTCCGTTCGATCCTAGAATAGACCAAATCGCGAGTCTTGCCTCGCCGTTCACTAGAGCAGACCAAACAGTGTCATTGTGGTACGTTTTTATCTAGTATATGTCTTACATTTCAGATGTCATCAGATGTACCTACAACTGTTGTTATTTAGGTGCCGTTGTGGAAACTGCGCTTTGATGCCAAGTGACGGAGAAAACGTGTGCTGCAATAGCATAAGAAAGGTAGCCTAGCTTAGTTACATTATGTCGGCAGCTAGCTGAAAACACCAACAGTAGCACACATATACCAAGATATACAGCATACATGTTTTTCAAGTCAATAGACTATTATATGCACTTGTATTACTTCCTTAGTAATTGAATGTTTATTTTGTAAACCTTTCCCATAGTTGGTTTAATTGCTAAACGTGTTTTGTAACACATCTTACCTTCATAGGTTGCAACACGCATGCTGCAAGTTCCAGAACCCATTAACTGCATGGTTGACCACCCAGGACTAGAGCCTAACTGCTTGAACCCATACACCCTGCAGAATCTCCACAATATTTATAAATACAGTTTCGGACCTTTGACAAATACAACGGAAGAAGAGTAAGTTATTGTTACCTGTTATAAACTACTACCGTTTGATGAAAAATCAAATCATGGTTTGCTATATATGAATGAATAGGAATAATATAATATATAATAATATAATATGAATGTTATAGGAGCAAATAATTCAGGAAACAAAGGCTACTAAGTATTTCCATCAAACTTTATTTTTACAAATGTACAAAATGTGTGAATGTATATTTATATTTGAATGTAATGTACATCATCCATTCCTCTCCCGATAGGCGTTTTCGATATCTTGCGTATCGCAGCTTTGTAAGCTGGTGCTGGGGATATTTAGGGCGAGGCATCAGAGTGGTGATTCCGTCGTGTGTTGTGCTCCGGATCCGCCAGGAGTTTCCAGATCTGGCTGGACAATATGTAGGATTTCGACCTCCTTTGGGGGGAAACGGGAGAAACGGCTGACAATCATTTCCTCCTTGGGGGGCCTGTCAAATTGAGTTGACAGGTCCTCTGGGACGTGGATTCGTTTCAGCTCGTCCACAAAGGGTGTAGGGTCCAGAAATACTTTGTGAAACACAAGCCTCGTCAGCTCATCCACATAGACTGAAAAAGAAAGCATTGTATAAATAATTTGTTATTGTTATTCACTTTTTGTATTTAATGTAATACTTTTATTGTTCATTGTATCTTTAATCATTTGAAATGTAAGTTCTGTTAATAATAATAAAAACAAAAACAAATATTTCACAACTTACTGTATGTAGGGTCGTTCTTAACAGACTTGACCGTACACTCTCCCCTCTTTGATTTTGGATAAGCCAATTTGAAGACAAGTTTTCCTGCAGCAGTTGTCGCTTGGTCACGCCCAGCATTCTCGTTGTGATGCATTGCTGCTAGACACAACCTATAGAATAGCAAAATAAAATGAGACTTTGTGTTATGACAGAATAAAATCCTCATGCCACTAAACAGTGACTGTGTTATAAGATGCTACAGAATAAAGTATACAGTGTATTACCTGCACAACATTCCAATGAAGGGGAAAACCACATTTTTTGGGGTAAAACGCAGAATTAAGTTGTGGAAGGACTCCAGGGATGAGGTCTGGTAGTGATGGCTTAGCTTTAGCACATCTTTGAGAACTCTCTTGTTGGTGAGTATCGTTTCAACTCTGGCGAGTGTTATTGAGCCTTGAGTAAAATGACAAAGACATTAGGTAAATCACCAGCACATTAGAACATTACAACAATAATTTGCCATAACAACAATGTTATATTTACATTCTATATTGTTGATCTTATGAAGGAAGTGAAATATTGAACTTACCACCTTTTAGGTAAGGTTTATTTGCATCGCTTGCGGCTCCTACAGGATGTGTGCACTTGGGGAACAGGGGGTCATCATGCACGTGAACGTTTTGTAGGTGGTTGACCAGTGACGTCCACCTTGCCACCTTCTCCGGCCCCGAGGTTGTGCTCGTCGCACTCCAGTAGACATGGTTTTTTATGCTGCGCAGCCACCTCTTCAACTTCGTGTCACAGTCCTTGTTCTGTGTAAGTTTCAGAAGTTTCTTGGACAAACCTGATAAAAAAAAAAGCACATGCACAAGTTAATATTCAAGCCATAGTGTGGAAATGACGTGCTGTGATGGACAACATTCAAGAGTGTGGTGGAAATTCCACACTTCATATATCATCAACTGTTGTGGAAATATTTTCCAAGGCCCATAACTTTGACCCAGTGTATCAGTTCAAACTGTCCTGACTGAGCACAGGCACCTGTAACCTTGGCTGCTGTGCTCTCAGTGTTTTGTCTCCCTGTTCCTGCCTGTTGGCGTCAGCTGATAGAGGTGTTATCATTCCATCTTGTTATGCAGCATGTTGATGATGCTCTCTGAACTAGCTAAATACATGGGTCTGGGGTAGAGTTCTTCAGAATTGACGTGGCAACTCTACCGTGAAGTCAGAACCTCTGACTCTTGGACTTGTGATGTGAATCCTCCGGCCGTTAACTCCAAATAAACCATCATGTGTTTGACATCAAAGCTACTGCTCTTCCCGTGTCTCCTTCCTGAGTCGGTGACTCCCACTGCATAGCTACACAGAAGTTTCCTCTACAAATTGGCGTTGTCGGCAGGATGCCAATAAATCTACAGAGCTGGTAAGTGTGATTTTCAAATCTACATTTGGACATTGCCTTACCAGAATCTGTGATTGACGGTATCCTAAAATTACCTGTGAAACTGATCGGCTGCGTTTCCTTTTGGTTAATGAACATTTGGGGATGATAAACCCAGGAGATCAGTGTCTGGGGACTCAGTCCTGGCTTATTTCCTCTGTGTATGCTGCTCGGGACGGAAGTGCCATACAGGCATACACAGCTCATGTTTAGAGATACCTTAAAGAAAGGGCATCAGTGAGGTGGAGCTTCTGTGTGAATTGAAAGCAATGTAAAAGATTTGTATTGGACACATCGCCGGATTTTGAGGGTCTTAGCGGCCAAACATAGCAGTTGAAAATAAGCAGCCAGAGATATTTATTGCCATCACCTCTCTGTAAAAACACGGCTCCAGCTGCAGCCTTGCATGTGTGTGTAAAACCTCCCCGTGTGTGTGTGGGGCTGGAGCAGTGCAGGCTGAGAGGGAGAAAGTCACAGCTTATTGCCTATAGGCTTTAACTCACGGCACCACCGTCCTTCAAACGGGACGGTCTAAAAGCACTCGTTGTTTAGGACCGCTTTTCTCATGGTTAGACGGGCCAGCGCGAAGTGCGTGCATCACCCGATGCGCTACGGCTCTCTGGAGCAGGTGGCGGTCAGGAGTGCATACATACAATTATAGGCTAATTGATCAGAGGTGTGTAGTGGCAAGCAAGCATAGGCAAACTGTGTTTCACCTTGAGGTGAACTCGATAGCAAGTATATATAGGCTGGTCGTACGGACTACAGTCAACTGAGCTGTTGTTTGGATAGAAAGGGCAGGGAAAAAGTCTGTGGGCTCCGATCGGGGGGGCACAGCGCCACTAGAAACAAATAGCCTAGTGGTTGTCGCAAGAGGATAAGCTAGTTATCGTTCTTGGACGGCTTTCAGGCACCGATAAATCACTTGTATGCAAGGGTGAGGCGTGAGAAGACGCCGCACTGGAGAGAATTCCCCACCCCCTCTAAGATCTCTAAAATCCGGACTAAATTGAGCTGAAGAGCTTTGCTGTCGCGCTGGTGTTTATTAAGAGTTCATGTTTTGTTTGTCTGATTGTTTGTATGGGGGGTCTATATTGGTTTGTCCCGCCGTCTTGTGTATGTTTTGTAACAACTAATAATTAATCAGTCCATAGACAGGGTAAAATGAACTAAACTTTAATTATCTCACCAAAAGTAAATGACCTGAGAAAAATAAAAAGTGTTTTTATGTCCTGCCTCTGAGTGCAGGGGAAAATGTAAACAAGAAGCCCACTGTTCAGGATGAGCGCTAGGTATAAGAAGAAAATAAGATTATATTGCTTTAAGAATCCATTCTTAAATGGTATTGCTGGTATGTTAAGATATCTTTGTGACCTTGTATAAACCCTATGCCCCGTCCTGCGCCCCGAGACCCTCAGAGACTTGCCTGAGGAGATCAGGGTTGCAAAATCTGGTTTTAGGTCAATGTTGTAGGGCTGTGCGATTATGGCAAAAATCATAATCACGATTATTTGGTCAATAATTGATATCACGATTATTTTGACGATTATTCATTGACCATTTATTGAACTTTAAAACAAATAATATTTTACCAATAAACAAGATCAATAAATGTGTTGGAGCGCACTTCCAAAACCATACATTAATATGATAAATAAAAATAAATTAGACCAAAATAAATGAAATCCAATATGTTGCAGTGCACTGTCACAACCTACTGAAAACTCCTTAACATATAGCCAACATTTTGGTAAAACATATTCATCATATTCCACTCAGTTAAACGTTGAAGGCTGGCCCACCGTCATGGTCCAGAAGTAACAGGAAATAAATGTTGAACTACAATTTAAGACCAAATAAAAATGTTTAGGCCACCATGGCAAATGCTGGTAGGGCTGCTCATGTCATCTCTTAAAGATTTTTTGCAAGAAATACCAGCCTGTTTACATGGTCTGGTTTCAGAGATGAGCGCAGGCAGGTGACAATATTGCCACCTGTACTGAAGACCCTCTCTGTAGAGGAACTTGTGGCAGTGCTGCCACATATGACACAGGAAAAAAAGAAAAGACTCTGAAGAACCCTTTCTTTGCCATTATATAAAAATAGTGTTTCTACAAAAGTATAAATTAGGCTTACTAATAAGACAACTCAGATCTGAAGCTACACAGTAATCTGCTGCAGCAACAGTGCAATAAAAAAGACAACATTAATAGAATCAAACCCATTTTTTGTTGCATTTTATTAGAGTATAAAAAGAAATGCCTTTAAAATAGGATGCAAGCAACACTAGTTTCTGAACTGATAGACTATAATCAATTTAAACAGAACAGATCTTAATGTTTGCATTCTTATACCATTTTGTACAATAATTATCATGAATAAATTCAAACAAACTAAAACTTACAGCAGATTAATAACGGTATCTAAATTGAGTTTTTATTATATCAAAAACATGTTGAAATGCTGCTGTTATTTTTACTGTCGCAGCCTCCAGGAAAGCTTATTTCATAACTTCGCCGTCTTCGAAAGACTTCATGTGTTTCACAAGAACGTGACTGACACGATAAGATGCTCTGGTAGCAGCCTTGCTCTTGTTGTTGGGCCTGGTGAAAATGGACTGCTGTGCATTTAGCTGTGCTCTCAGGCCCCTCCCCTTTTGGAGCGTAGGGCAGAATTGAGGGAATTCCGTCTCGTAGCGTTTGTGCACTGTTTTGAAATGCCGCTCCTAAATTACCCTTCTTCGATAAAGCCACGCTCGCATTGCAGATGAGACAGATGGACTTTGAATTGGAATAGATACAAAAATAATGATCCTCCCACTTGGAGTGAAAATTATATATTTTGGGCTTTTTTGCTTCTGCCATAATTGCGGTCTTGTGTGTGTGCGGACTGTCACTCCTGTTGACCATCCATGCTGTTGACACGGACAAAGTCAGCGAACTAGTGCACTGCTCACCAGCCACGCCCCGACACATGGGGTGAGGCCGGCCAATCACAAAGCTTTGATGCGTTCAAGTGCATTATTCTGGCACGGGAACATTATGTTACAGGACATTAACGATAAAACAGAATATTGTTGTTCTATTTTTAGACACATCTCGCGATCGACTGGGAATCTCCCCGCGACCCTTCTTTTTAACTAGTTGCTGCTCTTGTTCTGACATCTTCGCTTGCGCTGAACACTCACAACACATGTCACTCCCACGTGGCCGAGTGGGCTTTTAGGGAGGGGCGAAAGCGCACCCAGCAAAATAATCGTATTTTGTCAATTATGCTGTTTTCCTAATCGTCGCAAGCCATAATCGTAATCGCGATTAAAATACGATTAATTGCACAGCCCTACAATGTTGTATTATTTGTTTCATTTATTCTTAATCTATGTATTGTATAGTAATAATGAATAAAAACGTAATGTATTGAACACATTCCGAAACAAAGCAGATAAGACAGAACTAGACTCAGACATAATACTAATTGTTGTTGAAACCTTTTGCGCTGTTGCAGCAAAATGGAAACGGTGTTAATTATTCTGTTCCAACTGGCCACTGGAATCAGGTAATTAATATAAGTTGAAGTTCAATTACAGTTTTAAAAATAGTTTAATATTCTTTATTAAACTGCTTCAAATTATTTCTAGTATCAACCAATTGGTCTCCATAGACAATACTAACATTAAAATAGTTGTTAAACTACTGACAAGTTTTCTGAAACCGAGCTTATGAACAATAGAGTAAAGGTTGCTGGTTAAGCCAGGATCAATATATTTGTTGAAGTTTTTATTGTGTGCATAATAAATGTGTTAAATTAATTGAGCAATTCTTTAAAAGTATAATGTTGCAATTTCTTTAAAATAAGTAAATACAGTTACAAAATAGGTGTTGTTGTCCAAGGGCCTCTCTTTCACAGGCACTTTGAATCATAACACTCCCAAGTCCTACAGAGATCAGTATCACTTTGTGTTGCAAGCCAAATCCAGGGGTTCTACTCGAGCCCGATTTTAAATACCATAAAGAAAAGTATTGAACCCAGCTCGAGCTAAATGTCAAATGTATTTAATTAATGTGCAAGTGTTTTGATTTATTTAAAATGTTCCAGTCTAGCTTCCTTCGAGTTTAATATAAACAACAGATTGGTTCTCATAACATTCTCACTGCTGTGCTGTCCCAAATGTTTTAAACCTTGGGCAGATAAGCACACACACACACACACACACACTTTGGATGAGTAATCACTTCATCCAAATTGTAAATTGTTGCCTTCTTTAAAGTTATTAGTAATTCAAGATTAATTATTAAATTAAATGTGGTACATAACATATAATAAACAAAATAACTTTGAATTGATCATTTTGTTCACAACATTAGACCTTGTCCTCTAATCTCTACTAGAATAAGATAAGTGTGCATGTTTGGGTGTGGAACACTCCTGTAATGTACCTAATCTTCTTATCCTTTTCATTACAGAGCTGGGAAAATGGTGTATTGCTTAGATTCGGATCCGTGCAAAGTCCAATTATGACTGACTTTAGTTCTAATGTTAATTTGATTTCAACCCATAAGGAATTATTTAGATTAACTCAACATTTCACATGATGGATTAGTGCTCCACATTTTTCCCACTAATTTGTTGTGCAATTAGGCCAATGGTAAAGAGAGACATTGATGACCTTGTGTCCCTTTTGTTGGTACGTGGTTCCATTCTGTCTATGGCCTTGGACGGCTTCACTAAGAATCACCCAGTTCTGACACAGTTCTGAGTGCAGTCACAGAGATGCTATGGCTGCTCTACATGAAATGACATTAATGGTCTGGTCTGAGAATGGACACCATTACCTGCTTCCAGAGACAATGCCGCTCCTCAGACTGAACAATACTGTCTCACGTGGGCCACTCCCCCCACCAAGCCATGAACTGAAAGCTTGACATCTGCTTTGAACACCTGGAAGCCTCCCGGTCACACCAGCACCAACCCTTGGGTCAGTCAGATGGGACTAACGGCTTCACTTAGGGCATTTGGTTCAGAAATATGACTCTCGTTACCGCAGAGTGGGTTGTTTTTTTAAGGCTATTCATACTGCTATGCAGAGGATGCCTGTAGGTTGGCAAGCTGTTAAAAGCCCCTACTATTTTTTTAAATAGGCCTAAATGTCAGGGGCCTCTTAATGTCTAGTTCTACATGTATTCACATTATATGGACAATGTTTCCACCTGGTGAAACTGAAGGCTGCACGGTACTCAGGCTACAATACGACCATTCTGTTCTGCTCTAACAATTCAATTGATAGATTCTACATCAAAACAATTAGCTTTTATTGTTTCCAATGATAACGTCATTTTAAGAGAAGGAATGCAAACCTGTTTTCAAATGTAAGGTTTTGAATTTGTTTGACATTTCTCAGTAAAAACACCCTCAGACACCCACTATCATTCATGCCATCAGTAGTGACTCAGATGTTAAGGGGAAGAAGCTTTTCCTCCCAAATCAGATATGCTTTGTTTTTTTAACAAAGGTATGCATTTCCTGCATAATATATGTTTCTCACAATTGTTTGTTTTTTTGTAAGCTGCACACAGGTGATACTGAGTCTTCTCGATTAATAGATTACACCATGCTTAAATAGACTCCTAAGTTATTATTTCATATGAGACATATGTAAGAAAAGGGAGGGAAGAGTCAATTATATTGAGTAATTGATTTTATATTGGAACATTTATTTCTCAAACCTGTTTTATGGAAGAGGAACATATTTCTGATAAACTAATATGTTATCAAACGGTAAATGGTGAATTAATATAACATTTAGAATCATTGAGAAGGGGTGATATCCGCAGGGACTAGCTCACCTTTACATTACAATAACATTTCTCTACTTTGGACTGATGAGTTTATGATTCTTGCATGTTAAATGACTAACACAAACCTTACATTTATGCATGTGCATGTCTCAGGAAGGCTCCCAAATAATTCTGAGGGGCCTATCCTATTTTTGTATTTAAATGATAATGTGCTAATCCATTACCTTGAGTTGTCTGCACTCAGGAAAACATCCCTATCAAGTGTTAACCCAATAACTACAGTAGGACAGCTCTGAAGGCCAAGGGTCAGAGAGAGAGCTACGTGGGTCCACGCCAGCCACTGCAAGGTCCTAGTCACCAACAAAAGTGGATGACAACAAGTGATGTGTCCTAATCACCAACTTGCACCACACTTGCACTACATACACCAAAACACACTACACACAAGGTGTCACAGGCAAGTGCCAGCTGAGCGGTTCCATATGCTCTCTGGTTCCTCGTTTGTGTTACCGGTGTGCGGAGTCTGACTGTCCGTGTCACAAAATCGACCGAAGGAATACACACACACACCCCATGGAGCATTCCCACCTCGTGATGACGGCTCGCCTGGGAAAACGACAACGCAACCGTGAGCAATACAACTGGCCTGGCCCAGTGATGTGGGGTTTAGCTCGCCACAAGATTACGTTTGGTTGTGCGGCGACAAGCTCTATCAAGTTCTGGCTCCCCTCTGGATAGGTACATGCACTCTAGTGGATTTGAATCCAGCAATCAGGCTTAACAACACTACTCTTTAATGTATTATCCATGCATAGAAAGACCTACAATGATGTTTCAAGTACTGGATTAATTTCAGTTTTGGCCCAAAACAAATATTTATAATATTTCATATAACAATTATGCAGCATATTTGATCCTCAAATTAGAGAAGTATAATTTAAAGAAATTGATATTCTCAACATTAGATAAACACAGAAGAATCCTTTCCAAGTACCATAAGTAGCTCAGGTAAGTATGGCTAATAGGAATACTTGATAGACTTAATTTGGTACAGATCAGTGGTAGCATTTACAAATGTAATAATTCAAGGTTTAAAAATGTTTAATCCTTCCTTTCCAGGTTTTTACAAACGTCTTTGAATATTTGCCTAACTTTTCCTTTTCAGATTTTGAACAATGTACTTGACTAAAATGAAGGTATTGATTTCACTAAGTGCCTTACTCTTGACTAAAGCGTATTTAAGTAAACGTAAAAGTAATCCTAAAATTGAGGACACTGCACTTTTGCAGATTACAGATTGATCAAATCACCAGTGTGAATTCTATACTCTAACTGTGAATGTTTAGCTGGATCTCTTACGATCCTGAGTTTTAAAATGCTTTTGAATAGTGATTGCCTTGAAGTAAATCTTTAAAGCGGCAAGCTGGTTTTGATTTTATAGTTTGATGAATGAAATTAACTAATGGTAAATGATAAAAGATATAAGTTTAAAACAAATATTGTTGCTATTGTGCACCTGTGTTTTATGTGTGTTCATTATTATGCTTTTGACAAAGGATGATCAAACACTGATGAGAGATGATTTTTCCTATTATGATTGGCTGTATCAATCATTGTGATTGAATGTTTCAATCTTAATGTGATTGTTATTGATGTAATTGATGTTGTGTAAGTCCACACTCAAATCTGAAGATTCCCATTGATTTAAGTATTGAACTAAATATTATTAGACTAAGGGTTTTAGATTATCAAAATTGATAAAAAGAAAGAAACTTTAGATTATCAAAATTGATAAAAAGGAAGAAACTGTTGTGGAAATATTTTCCAAGGCCCATAACTTTGACCCAGTGTATCAGTTCAAACTGTCCTGACTGAGCCCAGGCACCTGTAACCTTGGCTGCTGTGCTCTCAATGTTTTGTCTCCCTGTTCCTGCCTGTTGGCGTCAGCTGATAGAGGTGTTATCATTCTATCTTGTTATGCAGCATGTTGATGATGCTCTCTGAACTAGCTAAATACATGGGTCTGGGGTAGAGTTCTTCAGAATTGACGTGGCAACTCTACCGTGAAGTCAGAACCTCTGACTCTTGGACTTGTGATGTGAATCCTCCGGCCGTTAACTCCAAATAAACCATCATGTGTTTGACATCAAAGCTACTGCTCTTCCCGTGTCTCCTTCCTGAGTCGGTGACTCCCACTGCATAGCTACACAGAAGTTTCCTCTACATCAACCATAACATACATATGATAATTGCCTGTCAGTGCGACACCCTTCTGTCTGAAAACATTTCATAGCCAGGAAACCTCCATACATATTCATATCACTGTAAATTCCCATTCTAAAGAGTACTCACATTATCCTAGGATTAGTGAGTGAAATGTAATTTACAATGAGAAAAGGTGCTGTGATCAAGTGGTCTGGCAGGCCAAATTGTAGGAGATATAATGAATGTATTCAGACATTATGTCATGTCTGCTGCTGATTAGAAGCTCAGGATAAATTGCATAGTAAAACAAAGGAATATCTTAACAAAGGACAGTGCCTCTGATTTGGTATTCTTCCATTACAACATATAGGGATACATACCTTTTTCAAAGTGCCACACATCATAGAATTGTTCGATGTTGCGTTCCCTCAGGTACTTCTGGATCTGCGGATGACTGTCAGTCACAATGTACTCAACCGCCAAATCCTTTGACTCCAGATGATCTAGGCATCTTTTGAGTCCCTCCTTTTCCATGTGGTAACTACCACCTACTTCATTGCTCTGTTGGGGAATAACAAATAGGGCATAAATACACAGAAGCATGCATCAACAGCCAGCAAGCCTAAAATCATAGCACCCAGAAAGAGAATCACACCTGAACAAGCTGGAAGTCCAGAATGGTGTTGCTTCCCAGGTTCATGAGTGTGTAGCTCCCGAACTTAGCCGAGTGTCCTGAAGAAAATATAATACAGGAGGTTTCAAGGCTTTTCAACCGAACTTCAATGGATAAGTAGATGAATTGTAATATACACCAGTAACTCTGGCACTAGACTGTCTTGTCTGTTTCTGCTTACCTGGAGAGTCTGCTCTCATATCTCCTGCAACTGCGACCTTTCCCCCCTGTTGTTGTAGATTATCGAAATTCTGCTGCTGATCAGTGTTCCACTTGTGGATAATAGCAGGCTCCAGGTAACTCTTAGCATGCCTCCTGAAGGTCCCATACCCGATGATCTCCAGCTGCATGGCTCTGCATATCTATGAATAAATAGAAAAAAAGGAAACGTTTTTGAAAAAGTCCACTGCTGTCATTTTTCATATGCTATAGATGTTAGAGATGGTAAAATACCTTTCGTAGTTGGAAGAAGGAACCCCCAGTGAAGTATGTAGCAGCGGATAATTGTAAGTTGCCAACCGGGGTACTTCCGATGACGGGCTGGCTCTCCCATTTTCTGAAGAAACTGCAGTTTGAACAACGCTGTGTGAACGCCACATAGGTCCCCACTTTTCTTGTTTGGACATCACAGTCTGTCTTACACACCGGACATTTTTCAAACAGCTGTCTGAGGCAGCTTTCAAAAACAATGTACTTTACGTCACGATGCGTGGATCGGGTCTGAAGTCTAATGTAACAAAAACAAATTAACAATAAGTTTTAGATTTCAACTCTGAAAAACAGTAATAGTAATGTGTACCAAATGTACCAAACTTAAGATACGTCGCATTCTTCTACAGTATCATCAGGGTGGTAACTCGAACCCAGAGTCTCCTCAAATTCTGTCGACGTCTCTGCTTGTTCCTCGTCAACTCCAGTCGAGGTCTCTTGCTAGGTCCCAATCCTGGGCCCTTTATTGGTGTAGAGGACAAGGGGATTTCTGTGTAGGTGGAAGTTTTAGTGCCAACACTTTTGAAAGACACCGTGGCCTGGATGCCTGTTAATAAAAAGGGAAAAGTGCATAAATACTATGTACATTAGATAAGACACTAATACATTGTAAAAGGCCAACAACTTGTGTACATCTGACAGATTAATTCATGAAAAATGTACAAACTACAAACAGCACTGTATTTCTTGTAGTCAACATAACAGTATTTCTGTGATATACAATAATATCAAATAAGGTTTTATTTATAGAGCACATTTAAAAACGATTTTTGGTCGAGCACAAGTGCTGTACATGTAATAAAAGCACAATTAAGGTAATGCATCTGTGATTTGTCAGTGTTATAGTCTACCTTTGCTTCTCACGTGTGCCGATTTCAGTGTTCCCCGGGCCAACTGTGTAGCAACAGAAATGGCGGACACTTTACATTCCACTGTCTGTGTTCCCACAGACCGTGTCTCAACCCTCTGAGTTCCCACACAAACAGTCTGTGGACGGTCTGTTTGACATCCGACTGTACTGGAGCAGTTGGTATTGTGTTCCTGCTGTGATGTACTCTAAGAAAGATACACATAGTATTCATACAATTAATTGTGTATCCGAGGAAAACAGTCAATTTCATAACAGCAACACTTTTACAATTACAATGTTCTACAGATAGTCTGCTACGTTCGGTCATTCATTGTAGCTGGCATGAAAACAATGTTTTTCATAACATCTCTATGTTAGAGCTTCTAGCTTAGCTTATTAATGGTAGCTCGGTAGAATACACGAACGGCAACTGTAATTACTGACCGTACGGTTAAAGTATACTGTCTGAGTATTTCGTGTGTGTTTGCAGACATTCTCCTGCTATGAGATACATGTAAGGCCATGTGCTAACATCGGTGTTGAGGTCTGGGAATGCTAGGTAGCCCTCGTGTTTACCTCGGTAGCATAGCATTAGCATAGCATAGCATTTACACAGTCGTGATAGATACATTGTTTGTTTTAAACAGAATAAATACACAAACCACAATGAATACTTACAGGTTGTGTACCAGAATCTCCCGCTGGTCCAAACAAAGTAGGAACAGCATCGTCCTCCAATATAAGCTTTGCAAGTCCGAAGCTAAACATTGTTACGTTTTTAAAGCTTTGGTCCGTGAAATGCCGCGCACACACAACAGTACCGGCTGGTAAATCAGCTGGAACAGTGTTAAAAAGGAATGTCAACCACTGACTTCGTCGTGGTTCTGCCTTCGGTACTGCAAACATTGTGGATTTCTCCACACAATACAGGCAACAGACCCTCCGCGACATGACGGGATAGAGCTTTGAAAAGAAGCAGGTTTTACGACACTTAATATGGTCGACTGGCAGAAGAAGTGACGTCACGCGGTGCAGCTACGTCACGCGGGGCAGGAAGTAAACAATGGAAACTGAGAAATCTCCAACGAGGCTTTTGGGGGAGGTATTTTCTGTGTTAGAGTTTACTCGCTACAGGGTGTACTTTGAGGGTTTTGACTTTGCAGACTGTTTACATGCATAAAAACCTTCATAACACACAAGGGGACGGGCAATAACCGGAAAAGCATGACATGGGACCTTTAATATTTTCTGCACAAACTACATATCATCTGAAAGCTGATACTCCACAGATTATTTTTGTTATAAGTATCATCACTGTAGGACACAAACTCACTGAGATATCAGCCAGAACAGAGAAGAAAAAAAACAACAGTTTTCAAAACCATAACAATAATTATGTCTTACCGTTGCTGTTTTGTGATCAAAGCTCTTGTTCAAGGGGAATAAAAACGCTGCTTAAAGTTAATCCAATGTCTCTTAGTCACTTTAGAATTGTTCCTGATAATCTATCATTACATTCATGGCAGCAGAGTAGGTATAAAGTTTCGCAGTCCCGAGCTAATGCTGTCTCACGTGCTGTTTACGCAAACCTCTCTCTACTTGACGTAAGTGTTTAGCGGGACTTACTAACTGTCACTCGATTCTATTGGCTCTAACGGTTCAGAAAAGGTGTCAATCACCCAAATCGACCAATGGGTTCCAAAGATAGGATCCTGCGTAGTATAAACTACGCCCGCTCCGGCTCCATTACGCATTACGCAGCCTAGAGTGCTAGAGATGCTAGCTGACGATAGCGGGGCTATGATCATACCAGATGACTCTTCGTCGGATGATGAAGATCTCCTCCAGCCAGACCTGGATCCGGACAGTAGTGACTCGGATGTTGAACTTCCACCACGGGAAAGGTATGTCATCTCTCTGTTTTTATATATTACTTATGTGTTTGGTGGAACTGCGTCACAGTGCTAGCTTAGCCAAGAAGCTACAGGAATGATTAGGCAAAATGCTAAATAGTGTTACTTGTCTTTTTGGAGTTACATTTTCTAAATGAATGGCCAGTGAATGAATATACATGTGTTTACTTATTTATTTGGTGTAATATTATTCATTTATAGTCCAATATTATCCTACAAGTATAAGCAAGTGAATTAATCTAATCTCTTTGTTTTTCCACATTTGTTAGATGAGGAGTGACCCCAGCAGGACAAAGCCACACACCCAGAAGACTTTCAGGGAGCAGCTTGCTGCAGAATTGTTGGAGTTTGCTGAAGGCCCTGCTGAAGGCCCTGCACCTCCACCACTCCCTCCTCCTCCACCACTCACATGCCCGAGTATTATGGAGAAGATGCCACCAAGGTCAGGAAGAACTGCAGGAGGTGCCTAGATGCTGGACTCAAAAGGGTGAAGACACCTGTGTACTGCAGGAAGTGCCAGGTCCCTCTGTGCTTCACTGTCAAAAAGAACTGTTTCAGGGAGTGGCACGACCTAAATACTGGAACATTCAGGTAGGTATAAAGTTCAGGTAGGTATAACGTTTTGAGTGTTTATTTTAAAAAAAATACTTGTTTTTATATACCTAGTGTGATTTTATTGTATAGTACGTTGGTAAAATGTTTGTTTTTACAAACCTACATTGTGTTGGTAAAATGTTTGAAATCAATCTGCCCCAGTTGGAGTCAAATGTTACCTATGTTTCCGTTTTTTTTATTGTGCAAGTACACTTACACACAATGACCTACAGTGTAGTTTTATTGTATAGCGCGTTGGTACAGTTACATACACACACAGCTACACTTACACACCTACACATGCCCACACAGCTACCACACACACACACACACACACACACACCTACACTTACTTAAATATTGTTTGTTTTTTTGTTTTTTGGGGTGGAATGAATACCTATAGTGATGATTCAATGTAATACAATGATTTGTATAGTCTGGTACCTGAAAAAGGTCAAATGGCACTGATGGAACCAAATGTGCCCAAAGCTTATTCCGCCTGGACTTTATTTTCATAAACCTCTCTAAAAAGGTCAAATATCACTTGTTTTGCCTCAATCTTGATACAGGGTACTTATATGTTATACTTTGGATTCCTAAAGCTTTTAGGCTACTAACCCATCATTCAAGGTTGGTCTTCACTATAAGTAATGGGTTTTCTTTAGGCGGAGACAGGAATTTACATTTTTTTGCTATGTTCCATCTGAATTTACTCTAACACCGAAACATCTATATTGATTCTGACACTTCTACATCCAACTCACAGATGTAACCTTGCTTTGATAACAACAATTATTCATATAAACCTTTTAGAAGTGAAGTTAGTCATTTGTTCTGGGAATGTCATTTTCGAGCCTGAAACCTGAAAAACAGGCTCGGGGTTTAACAGGTTAAGAGTCTAACGAGTTAATACAGAGTCTAAAGAGTGAGAGAGAGTGAATAAAGAGGGAACAGACCTGCTCTGTGGATCTGAAGCTGAGGCTGTAAAACAGCGTCCAGTAGTTTCCGGTGTCTCTCGTTCTCCTGTTTTGAACGAGACAGTTCCTCCTCGTACTCTGCTATCGTTCTTTCAAACAGAACAAAGATGTCTTCAGCAGCCGCAGTGAGTCGCTGCTTCAACAACGAGAGCATTACAACACTCGTGTTTACTAAATCACCACTTCCCGTTTCTCTCACTCTGTGTTGCTAGCGTGTTACCAGCTAGCATGCTAAGCTAGTATGCTAAGCTAGCTTCTAGAGTCCGAGCTAGAGGCTTCAGAAGAAAGAGCACAAAGTCAGAGGTTCATCCAGACACACAGACGATGGATGGATCAGCTGTGCACACACACTTCCTCAGGAACACCGAGAGAGAACCATGGATGTAGCGAGAGAACACACGAGAGAAGCCACGAGACGCGATCTGGTTCCATTAGAAAGAGCGTGACCATCACTTCCGGTGCATCACTTCTTCTTCTTCTCTCGATTTAAAGGCGGATTGCAAACAACTTTAAGGTGCATACCGCCACCTAGTGTACAGAGTGTGTATCACCATTATCATCCTATCACCACTTGTGGAATTATACCAGCGGAGGCTGTGGCGCAGTGGATTATTAGAGCGTTGGTTTTCGGATCAGGGGAGCACAGGTTCAAATCCCACTGCAGTCAGCATGTCGTTGTGTCCCTGAGACACTTCACCCCAAATTGCTCCTGTGGGGATTGCCCGCAGTATTGAGTATGTAAGTCACTTTGGATATAAGCGTCTAACAAGTAACATGTAATGTATAATACCACTGTATTTACGTTGTTTTAAATTCTTGCAATCAATCCTGTTTCACTCAAATACTTAAGAATAGCCTTCCTGGTAGCTCTTACCCCCTCACCGTCTGTCCCCAGTGTCCCCATCAGGCTCCACTCTCTATCCTGCCTCTCTGACCCTGTCTCTTAGTTTTTACCTCTCTGTTTTGTACATGTTGCAGTGTAATATGATGTGTTCCACATTTTCTTTCACTCCACGGAGGAGATGTCGGAGAGAACGTGCTCCGAGGTGTGGTTAAACTTTACCCGTCTCGATGCTCGTGGACTAAAGTGCAATAAGAGTTTAGCATGTAAGGGCAGTAACACAAGCAATTTGTCTAAACATTTAGCAAAATTGCACAGGGTCGGCTCCAGAACAAATCGAATTGGGGGGCAATCATTTACCAAGGGGGGGCACACACTGCCGTCAACAACCAACACACAAACACCAACGCAACTTCAATTTAAAAAAACATGCTGTAAAGTGTATTTCACACACATTGCAGGGTGTAGTGCTATTGTATAGCGCACCTATGACCTTGTGCAGACATGCACGGTTGTGGCACGACCACCAAAACAGAAACATATGGACATAGTCCACCATATAAAAGTGTGCAAATGTATTTAGTATCCTATCCATGTGAACATGTTTTAGGTGGGGGTGGACCTAACCTCCTCTAGGAGGGTCCGGGGGCATGCTCCTCCGGGAAGATTATTCTTAAAATATTGAACTTAAATGCTTCAATCTGGTGCACTTTGAGAGCAAAATGAAGAGATCTATGGATACATCTCTCAACACCCATATGAAACAGAACTGTACACAAATGTACTTTTTCTTTATTGATATTTTACTAATCACTCCCCTTTTCAACTGTATTCTTGTGTTACTGTCCTATAGTATTTCATACCCATTTTTCATTTATTCTCTTATTCTTTAATAACTATAATGATCATATAAAGGTATTCCTCAGAAATACTTGTTTACATAAATGGTGACCAAACCGTTTGAGACCCACTGAGATAACCTACACTAAAGTGAATTATCTAAACACTGAGAGAGTCCTTACCTCTGGCTGAGGTTATACGATCCTCTCAGTCTGAGAGGAGAGGACTCTCCTCCACCTTGGTGTAGAAACAGCTCTTTATATCCGTTAGCATAGCTAGCTAACCAGATGCTAACAACAACATTCCACGTTACCACTCGCGCACTCACAAAATGCGCTCGTGCCACACACACACACACACACACACACACACACACACACACACACACACACACACACACAGAGCCGAGCTTGAATGAAACACAGAGACCCAGAAGTAGGCTACTTGTACTGTACTGTATCATATTATTTTCGATGGCTTTACTGTATAATCAGTGTGACAGATGAACAGATCGCCACTGGGCTTTCATCTAACAACCCAGTCTCATGGCATTTCGTGTTCACCAACACGATTTTCTCCTTTTTTTCGTGTTGCACAGCAAGATGCAAAAAGCAATGTATTTCTACTGGTAATGTGTTTCGTGTCTGTAGCACGTATTTTTCTCCGGTCGGGTCCTAAACTCCTAGAGGCCTACGTCTGTTTCCGGTTATTTTTATTTTGAAATTCAGTTCCTGACGGACGCCAAAAAAGCCCGAGATTATGGAATTAAACCAATAAATAAAAGCAAGGATAATTGTGTGTTATTGTTGAGTAAATAACAGTGTGTTATTTTGAAAAGAATAACAAATTAGAAGGAAATAAAAAAAAAAAAAATACAGATTACAGTATTCTGAGGCTCTGAGTCATTTATTTTCCTCACAGACGGCAACAAAAGTCCGAAATTTTACGATTTAAAATAAAAGCAATAATTGTGGCTTGATATTGAGTAAGAAGATATTTTTATGAACCACAAAGCTTCCGGTCTTCCACGACCCGACCGGAGAAAAAGACGTACTGCAGGCACGAAACACATTACCAGTAGAAATACATTGCTTTTAAAATCGTGCTGTGCGACACGAAAAAAATGGGAAAATCATGTTGGTGAACACGAAATGCCATGAGACTGGGTTGCATCTAAACACACAGCCACGTAATGATAACAAAACAAAGGTCGGGGGTCATTGTTTAAGCAACACACCAATCAGAGAGCAGCAGTGAGCACAGCTCAGGCTGTGTTTCATATTTGTATTCTTTATTTCTGATGTATTTCACACAAAAAACCTTTAGTGGAAACGTTTTCACTGATATGATTTATTTTTTTTAAAACGGCAAAGTGGCAAGGCTTGCCCACCCTGCGTTGGGGGGGCACAGTGACTCATTTGGGGGGGCATGGCCCGCGAATGACCCCCCATGACGCCGACCCTGAAAGTGCACCACATTCAGACGAAGAAATGCACCGTTTTCGACTGTCTTCCTAGTAGCTCTGTAGCCCCATCCACGAGTAGCTTTTCCACGTCAGGTATTATGTATGCTAGCAGAAACACACGGAGTTAACTCAATTAGGAGGACTGTCTGAGGACCACAGATGGAAATGAGCTATTAGCTATAATCTGGCATATTGCATCTCTTCTCTTTGCTGAGATTAATGTTTTTGTATGCATGGTTTAAAAAAATTATACAAACATGGGTTAATGATTAGAGGTAACAGAGTTATTTATTTTGTTAAAGTTTCAGCTATTCTGTGTAAGAGTCGGTGAGGAGCTAATAATTTATTCCGGCAAATTACTCAGACCTACTAATTGACCTAACTGAAGTTATTGAGTCTATGTAAGTTTACTGCTTGGCTCAGATCCACCAACGTCAGCAAGATCTCACCTCTATTAACTCCCTGAAGAACCAGGTTTAATTAACTGCTGTTTTAATTCAGACGACCCTCTTAATCGGTTTAAGCAATCCCGAAGGATTTTGATATCAGTAAATGAGGTGTGAGTGTGGCAGTGTGCAATCTCACCTTTGAAGCAGGAGAAGAGAGCGCAGATGTCTTTTAAGTTGTTCCAATCCAAAAGGTGGGATCAGTTTATTTGAAGAAAAATAGGTCCAAACTAATACAGGGTTTTTACCTTCTCTTGTTACAACATTATAATCATACTAAACATATCATGCTGGGGTTATTTTCTAATCTAAAACCTTAATTCATAGTTCACCCATTAAAGTCTTCCGACAAAATCCAAAAATAATTTCCTCGTGCTGGCGAAGGTTCTCTAATTAGTTCTAAAATCCCGACACATTTAAGAATAGTAGGTTATATCTCTCACAGGCTCCGCAAATGAGAAAAGATTTTCTGTTTGATATTAGATTTGTTTTATATGTAATGTCTGCACCATGACATCAAGTCAAATTCCTCGTATGTGTGAACCCACCTGGTGATAAACCTGTTTCTGATTCTGAAGTCTCAGTAAGCAGTGGTTAAGTTCAATGATTAAATCTTCTCTAACAGTTATTGTCAACTGTATGCTTTCCAAAGCAGATAGTGAGTCTGTGCATATCACCACCCTATCAGGTCTGACCTCTTCAACCCATTGTAGCCCACTAATTGCTGCGAGTATTTCTGCTGTATAAACTGACAAGTTATTTGACACTCGTTTTGAGATTGATATTTTGAATTCTGGGATATACACGCCTATCCCCACGCATTCTTGGGCGACCCCGCTCTGTATCACCGTGCTATTATAAGACAGATAGATAAAGAGAGAGATAGATAGATAGATGGATAGATAACGTTGCTATGTTTATTTTTATTAAAAAAATGAAGAAAAACATTCGTGCAAAATCGCAGAGACTAATTCATCAACAATTCTTTATTAAACTCTGATTTTTACAGTAATAATAATAATAATGGGTTTAATTTATAAAGCACTTCATATTTGATTTCAAATCCTGAAGTGGAGGCGTGTGGTGCAGTGGGTTGAGCGTTGGTGTTCGGATCGGGGGGTCACAGGTTCAAACCCCACTGACAAGACACTTCACCCCAAATTGCTCCTGTGGGGATTGTCCACAGTATTGAGTATGTAAGTCGCTTTGGATAAAAGCGTCTAACAAGTAACAAGTAATGTAAACAAAGTAATGAAGTGCTACAAGCAGTACTGATTAACACTGCTTCACATTCATGAATTAGAGTGTTTGTATCAGACCTTCATATAGAGGCTGTCCAGTAGGGCTGATGTTACTCTAGCTATCCTGAAGGTGGCAGCAGAGGAACACAGGATATATTTATTTAAATAGAAATAAAGCAATGAAGTCATTAAACAAATAAAATGTCATTTCACATGGAAGTTGGTCACCAAGAAGAAAGGACACAGGGAAAATGTCATTTGAGGGGGGGACTCGCCAACTATCTGATATTTAAATATTTAAATATTTTTAATCCTCTTTTCATACAACTTTATTTATATTTTGAGGACAAGTTTATCCAGCAAAACAAGTGCATGTATTATTTACATGTTGGATTGTTTATTTCTAGTCTTTTCATTTCTCTAATGTTCAATATCTTGTCTTTTTATGCTGCTGCCACACAAACATTTCCCTAATTGGGATCAATAAAGTACTTCTTATCTCATCTTATGTTATCTTAATAACACGCAGGCCTGTTCCTCCTTGACTGCTATTCGGTGCTTTTATTAACATGCATTGTAGTTTTATAGGTGAAGAAAGAGACAGGAGCTTCTGAGATCCACGTGTTTTAGAAATGGACATTTTCAAAAACCTT